GTCCTGCCCCTCGGTTGGGTGTAAGTGCAGTACTGAGTGCTTTCAGAACTTCATAGAAAGCCATGGAGCAGAGTTGTATGCAGAAAATGAAGCCCTCAGCACTATTTATGAATGCTCACCGTGCTCCAGTTTGGGTGCAGGGCGCTGCAGCAGTGCTCATAATGCCATATTTTGAGGTTGTTTCACAGAAGGCTAAGATCAGCCTTATTTTCCAAATAATTTCAGGAAATATAATGTTTGCTCCATCTGAGAATGAATGAGGAACTCGAGCAGAACTGCTAAACATAAAAGTTCCTGGACATCTGGAAAGGATTAGTCAGGAAGGTGCTTGGGACAAGGAGTTCAGGCAAGTTCAGGAGACACCTACTGTACATTTGTTTCCACAGAAAAAGGGAGGAGGAGAGAAAGGGTTGAGGGGAAAAGCAGGAAGGGAGGATTGAAATAAAACCTACACAGGAATGGCAGATAAGGTGGGAGAGATGAGAGCAGTCTGACTGCTGCAGAGGGTCTGCTAAGCAGAGAGGGCAGGGTGCAGCATCAGGGGATGGAGCACAGAGGCAAAGAACCGACCAAAGAGATTTTTGTGCCCATCTTTGCAAGGCCAGACAATGGGCCCTGAGCTGAGCACTTCCTCACCACAGGAAAGCACTTCCTTGCTTTGTAGCCAGATGCGTTCCCTTTCAACTCACGTCTATAGGATTAGCAGATTTTGTTCCCCTTAGAGCTCACCAGCAGCTCAACAGGGCAAATGCTGTGATAAAGTCAAGAGCACTCGGGAAACATTAAAGCGTAGACAGCCGAGTGCTAGGAATGAGAGCTGCACATTCAATTAATGTAGATGGGAGAATGTTTGTTTTATTTCTGAGTGGATAAGCACTCGAGCAGGCTCTGGGGCCCTGCAAAATCACAAAGGAGTGCTGCTCCAGGCCAAGATGAAAGTCTCAAAGAATTAGCATGGAAACCGCAGGGGCTTGTGAAACTCATGCTTGGTTTATTAAATGACTCACAAGGCTTTTTGTCACATATTTCTGCATCCAACTAAAATCAGACTTAAAATCGGGTGCCAAATTCTTTACCTTTTTTTTTTTTTCCCCCGCCTTGTTATGGAAATTTGATTCTGAAATCTGCCTGATAACCCATGAACTTACGCTAAAGGAAAGCTTTTGCTGTTTCCTGTGGAAGGCTGCAGTCCTGAATCTGACACTCCAAATCCATGGATGGACACTGGACAAAGATGTTGGGACAGTGGTATTTATCCACGTGCATGAGATGCTACCACTGTTTGGAGAGTTGGGAGGGACACAATGCATAAGAACATGCATGTTTTCAATACAATGGCAGGAAGGTCAGAAAGCACACCTATACTCTACTATAGAGTGAGAGAACGGGGTGATATAAATGTGTCTAAAATAAAATTACCCATAGACAGCCTCATTTCCAAAGCAGAACTTTGTAGAGAAGCTAACTTCCACCCTAATGAAAAAAACAAACCGACCAGAGAGAAGTCAGATGCTCCCTATAAATGTTTGTGGGTATTTAAATTTAGTAACTGATCTTATTTTGTGCCTTCCCCATAAGTGAAGAATAACTATTTTCAAATTAAGTTAGTAGGAGGTAAAGCTGAGAAATCAAAGCATGAGCTCTGTGTTTCCTGAAAACTTCACTTTAACAAGGTAGCTCCAGCTGCTAACTTTGTTTTATTGCATTCCTAAGAGACAGGTCTTCATGCAAGAACTCTTTAAGAGCTCTGTTCCAAAAATAAAGGCACTCAGAGTTATTTTTATGGCTAGGTGTGTTATATCAGTTAGTCTTAGGGCAAGCAATGCCTTTGGTGCTGCTGTTACCTCCTGACCTCACTGGGCTGGAGTCTCTGTCCACTCACACCTACCTGGTGTCCTTGCTTCCTGGAGCAGCATGCTGGGGCAGCACTGAAACAACAGCATCCGTTCTGCTTGGCTGCAGGTATCTGGCTCAGCAGTGCAGAGTGCCAGGGATAAAAAGAGGAGGAACAGCCTTCTCACCTGAGTGCTCTGAAGTTCAGCCTGTGGAGGCTAAATGCCCACCCTGACTGTCTTCATGGTGGGATGCTTTGAACCTGCAGATTCTCCAGCAAACACAGGCTGAAGGGAATCTCCCATCTACAAGGAATGACATTCTTGTTAACAACTGGGGATCTTGGCAGCCTTCCTGAGCTGCAACATACAGACCTTGAAACTGAACAAAACCCACAGTTGTATCCAATTAGAGCCCTCTGATGCAGAGGTTCATTTGTGCCCTTCCAGAAGGCTGCAGACAAATACAACTGATGACACGGCCTATCAGCCATAAACCATTCTTGGTAATTAATTGCACCAGAACTTCAACAAGCCCTTCCTTCACCCCACTTCAGTAAGAGTTGGATCATGGCTTCCCCTCTCAGCACTCCCACAGCACTGTCATGAACCCAAAAGACAGATAATAGAGAGCAAGGCTTCCAGGAGAAGCAGAAAGGCCACCACTGAACTGTTCTGAGGGCCTTCCAAACTTTAAATCCATTTGTTCCTTATGCAGCTCGAAGATGGGCTGCCAGAGGAGTATTAACAGGCTGTACAGCCTTTTGTGTGCACAAGTAAAGATAATTTTGCATCCACAAACAACACGATTGATTATTTTCTAATGATAAGATGAAACCTCAAGGCCCAAGGGAAGATGGTACCCCAAGAAACACCTTACAGTCATCTGTCTTTACTTGCTTTGTGCCGTATGTGATGAGCATAAGATCATACAGCTGTTCCCTATCAGGTTGTCTGCCCTCCCCTCTGGCTTTATATTGACATTTTATAGCAGAGAGGTTTCTTGTATCCTCTCTACACTGAAGTATAACAGCTCAGGATTGAGCTCAAGCTGTGGCAAAGGGACTGAGCTCAGAGTACGTCACTGTGCTTAGAAGTGACAGTAACAAAAACTCAGGCACACATTTGTTGAGAGGTCAGATCATTTTGGCCCATTCTTGTGTCACTGAGAGACTCAAGATGTTCGTGGGAAGCAGTCATAAGCTCAGAGCACCCTCAGACAGCAAACCAAAGACAGACTATCGAGAGTGGTGACAATTACAGCACACACCAGCCAGCTGCATGCAGAGTCAGGCAGTAAGCAGAAGCAAGCAGAAAAATGCAGCAGCTCACACTAAAGGAATGTCAACAGACATGAAAACTGAAGTCTCTTCCCTCCCATCAAAATGCTTACTGTAAATTTGCAAAGCAAACAGCTTGGCAGCACACTCCGAACACAAGCAATACATCTTCACTTCTGCCACAGGCTCTTAGCTATCAGAAAAGAGACAGGTAGATGGATAAGAGAGCTTGCTATCATCTTTGTTCTTTGCTGTATCCCAGCATAAAAACGTGTTTGTCACATGGATTTAGAGTGACAGTCTCTCCAGACACCAGCAGTCAGCTGTCACAAAAGAGCTAGGAAGTAAATCTACTGCAGCCTGTCATCCCCAGCAGACACTCATCCTTTCCTTCAAATCAGAACTCAGTTATGCCCCTAGGGAAGGTGCATGGGCTGAACACTCAGAGCAGGTGATGGCTAATAAAGTTCACCTAGGGTATTTCACTGGCCAGATCCTAAATACTGGGGATGTTTGAATTTCAATAACCCAAAGGTAGAAGGTGAATATCTGGAGCTGAGAGAGGAGTCTGTGAGCTGGGAGCAAAGTTTTGGAAATCTGATGAACTTCTGCACTGTGCTGTGCACAGGAAAATAGATGCCTTATTCTGAACCAATACTGTGATGCAACCAACTGCACCAGAAGCACTCTGACAAAAGGAGTCAGTGACAGGCCATGGTGAAACAGAGCTGCTTGAGGATGGGAAATACTTTGCACGCAGAAGCATCTGCATTGAGACTGCTACACAGCCATTAGCTAAATAAACTTCATTCTTGGCTAATCTGCCAAACCAGTATCTTCACTGCATCATCTGCTTTATCTTAAGCTGAAACAGTTGGAGGAGGAGCCCGTTTCTCACTTTCCTGGGAATGAGAGGGCCAAGTGAAAAGCTCCCCAGCAGCAGAAATTTGACTCGGCAGTTAAACTGCACTCTTGCACAAGATCTACAGGGGATGCACAGAGCAGAAGCCACAAGAGCCCCTTTCAGGGCAGGCTGGAGGACAGGATCAGCACCAGCAAGCATTCCAGGGCCCTGAAGCAATTTTGGGCTTGCAGACACAAAGAGGAATTGCCTCCCAGCCCCCACGGCCAGCAGATGCCTGGAACACCTGCCCTGTATGTGCTCAGAGCAGAAACTGCCTGGCTTTCCATGTGCTTAACACCCTTAGTTCGACAAACACTGATTTCATCAGTCATGACACCCTGAAGTCATACCAAAGCCAAGTGGGTGACGTGATTTTTTCTTTGCAATTAAAACTGCATATTAAGTACCATTCCTCTCCAAAGAGCTGTCAGCTGATGGGGAAGCACCGGCAGCAGCAGCCCTGCGCAATCGGCAGTCTTCAAAGGCCGCCGCGCAGAGCCCTCTGCAGGTCGAGCAGTGCCCTCAGGTGGTCGAATGGATTCCTCGGGCTTGAAACTTACTTTGTGCCCTTATCCTCCCCCCAGAAAAGGGGGAGAGAAAGACAGAGACAGCAAACTACAGCTGTAGCTTATGCTAGAGACACGAATCCCATCACTTTCTCAGAACGTTACAGAGCATCATTTTCACTGCCACCAAAAGGTGAACCTAAAACAGACAGCAGCTGCTGGCATAGAGCAGGAAGTTTTAAAATTGAGTATTAAACGTGCCCTTGTAGAGATATTTCTTTTCAGCAAGTGATTTTTTACTTACATAAACATGTCTTCCTCAGAAAGATACAACACACTTCAAACTGCCCACATCAGAACTCAAGTGTTCATGCTGGTTATGGTTACCTTCCTAACCACAGACACAAGCCAAATTTGGTCCTTGTTCCAGGAGGGATGAAAGCAAATATATTGCTCAGAAGGACAATGTACAAACTACTTATAGTTCCTGATACGACATCTTTTATTTAGAGGATGTTATCTAAAACACTTTTCCATCAAGCTGCTGTGTCTCACGTTACCTTTATTTGCAGCGCATTTCACCGCTTGTTTACAAGTTAGTCACAAAACTTTTTCTCAGCATACAAAACATCAGTGGGGGGGGGGGGGAAAGGGAAGACAACTCCCGTAGCTGAAGACAATTTCTTTCTATTGTCATGACCTGTTGAGCTCAAGCTCTTCCTCAAACACAATCCACCTCAGCTTGAAAATGGAACACTCCAAGCACTTCCTACAGAGGTCACCTCATCCACCTTCTAAACACTGCCTCAAATAATCTTCCTCTTAGTGGTTATCTCAGGATATACCACATGATCACACAAGCTGGTCAACATCAGTCCTGCATGCTCTCCATCTGAAGCCTTACCAGCAGCGCAGCTGTCACTGGTTGTCCAAAAAGAGAGAGATCTTAAGAAAAGAATCTGAGTTGGGAAAGAAAAAAAAAAAACACAAACACAGCTATTAAATAATACATTTTACCTGTATTCTGTATCAGCAGAAAATTATTTCTAAAATCACATATATATATATATTCATAAGCTTATATAAAGTAAGTTTGTAGACCAAATGAAATAGATTACCAAGTCCCTTATAAAATAGCAAGAAAGAAAACTGCTCCCAGAAGATCCTGGAATGCTGGCATTTACCACCAAATTGTGTACAAGACCTGTGAGCTGGTTGATTGCAAAGAGCAAGGACAGAGAGCACGCTCAGCCACTGCTACTGAGAGAAGCAGTACAAGCAACACAGGATGTAGGCAATATGCTGGCCTTGTACCTTCAGGGAAGAGATACCAGCACAGAGCTCAAAGAAACATCCTTTAGATCCAACATGTGAAGAACTACCTTGCACAGTGTCTTCCCCATAACGCTCCAAAATCCTCTCCCAGGCCTGTGGGAGGGCTTCCATGTCTGCCAGGCTGTCACAGCTGACGAGCAGGAGGAACAGTCTGATCTCCAGGTACCTCCAGACAGCTTAAGGACAACACAGAGAAAGGGACACCCAGCAGCCCAGCATTGCTACAAAAGGATACAGGTGCCGGTAGTAACGCTCCACATCCTGCAGTTCCTCCAGAGCATCGGCCAAAGACGGGCAGCGCGGCCCGCGCCGCAGCACCTCGGTTAAGCTCAGCTCCGCCGCCCGCTCCTCGTACAGCCGCAGCACAGCAGCAGCGCCGGCCCCCACCGCGTCCCTCACGGCGCGCAGCTCCTCCCTGCACGGCTCAGAGCTCAGCGGCGCCCCGCACCCCGCACCAGACCCGGCCCCGCCGCCTCCCCCTCACCGCCGCTCGCTGAGCTCCTCCAGCAGCGCCTCGACCGCTCCGCGCTGTTTCCGCCACAGCCTCTCCCTCAGCTCGCTGAAGGCGTCCAGCGGCGTTCCGCCCCACGCTAACCGCTGCGCCGCCCGCATCTGCGCCGCCAGCCCGGCCAGCGACGCCAACAGCGGCGCACAGGCGGCCACAGCTGCCCGCCACGCCGCGTCTCGCCGCTCCGCTGCCGCCGCCCACTCCCGCAGCGCCGCCACCATCGCAGCCATCGCCGCCATGCCGTCTGCCGACCCGGAAGCAGTCGCTGCGTTATGCGTCATCATAAACGCGCCAAGCTCCGATTGGCCGCACCGCTCTCCGTTGGGATTGGCTGCGCTGAGTCTCGCTGAGTTCTGATTGGACAGCGGGCGGGCGGCTGTCGGTGCTTTAAGGCAGCGAGGCAGCGTTGAGGCGATTTGTCTGAGCTGCTGGGCTTTTGCTCGTTTGCTTTCTTTTAAGCAGGTGGAGCAAAAGCATCTTTACCGCTTCAGCTAGAAACGATCATCTCTGTGCTCAGGGAGAGCTCTCTGTTGTCGCACTCAAAGTTGTTTGCGTTCTGTTAAACTGTGTTAATTTCTTACGTAGAGGAGCACCTGCTGCAGGCTTTACATATCAGCCATCAGAAGGCAGAATGTTCTTTCTCTGAACCTGAAATAAAAGAGTTTGACTAAAAGTGCATCAAGCAATTGTAGTAAAATCGTTCACTTTCGTAGCAGAGCTTTGAGGGCACTGGAAATGAATGAAGCCGTGCTCAGCGTCTGTCAGACCGTTGTTCATCCATTGGTCCATCCATCGTGGTCTCCATTTATCTTCCTTTCATTAGAATGTACATATGTTTTTTCCCCTGGATAATAATTAAAAGGCAGCTACATTATTTGCTCAAAGGCAGAGACCAATTGGGCTTGCAGACTAGCAAGCTGGGTAGAAAGGCCATTCTGATATCTTGCAGAAGGCACTAGCAGAGGACACAGGTGCCTGGAGTTTGCTTCTGTCTAGGAAAAGAAAGCAACAGATCAGATCTGTTGTACCAATTCCTCTGCTGAGGGACTTTAAGAAGTGATGACTCTCAGTGCAGTACCTGACATAGCTAAAAACAAGTTATTGGTGCCTGGGATTCAAATGGAAAGCTGCTTGGAGTTCATGGTGCTGCCGTGAATTGCAGTCTTTATGCTTTTGAGGTTTTAAAGTGAACGCATGCATTTTATTGGGTTTAAAGAACTGAAGATCTCAGGTGATTTGATAGCCTGTCAGGGAGCCCTCTGGCTGAATTGGCTCCTGTAACTTGGAGATTATTCAGTGATGTCTGGAATGACAGAGAACTTTCCTTATACACTTTTCAAAATTTTTAGAAGCTGTTCTCCTGAAATTGGAAGAAAACTTGGACATGACAAACCTTTGTTTCCCCCTTTCTGCTCATTAAAATAAAATTGATTCCCTACAGCTCCTTGACAAAGAAACAAATCCAGCAAATGCTGTTTAAACAGAATAAAAATTCCTCCGTCATTAATATATATATTTTTAACTTTCTAAATGCTTATTGGAAATTGAGACATATTTTTTCATTCCAAATTCAGGAAAACTCACCTTTAGCCCTTTCCTAGGCAGTCGGATTTATATCAAAACTCAAACAGGAACACTCGTCTACTTTTTTCTGAAGCGAGGCAGGACAGAGAAGTCTTTCATTTGCTTTTCCTGCAACCACCGCAGCCTTACTTTGGAACAGCCTGGAAAAGCAGAGCTCTCTGTAGAGCGCCAGGGCTGTTCAGGTCGTGGCAGCTTCCAGGTCTTAACTGCAGGTGGCAATATTGTGCACTACTGATCTGCTAGGTTTGCTCTGCTGAATTCTACGAACAGTCGTTTACAGAAAACCCAAACAACTGTAAATAAAGCCATGAAGCGCTTGGGTACAAATATGCAGCCCTAGATTCTGCTTTAAACATCTACTGGGGTTGGATCTAAAGTGCTTAGCTTGCCAAGAGAATTCTTCTGTTAATACTGTTGTCATTTAAAAGTTCCAATTATAATCCTTACGGCCAAGAATTTATTTGCTTGTCAGCCATTTCATTCTCCTATTTAACACCGAGATACGGTAGAGTTACTAAGTAAATCCATGCATTAATGCTTTTCCTAATAAGAGTGGTAGTACTCCTTTGGATCAGTGTAGGGTTTGATCTGAACAGTAAGGAAGCTTAATTGCTTCCTGAGCTATTTTCCAGCTGTGACTTTCTTGTAGGAAGAGTGGTTTGGGGAGTAATGGCCATGGTTTGCTAAAAGATTGCTGAATGCTGGTGTTCTTTAGATCGAGGCCATTGGCATGAACCAGAATTCTTTCAAAAATAAGTCCCCTCAGTGACAAAGCAAGCTGAAGAAAGATGAGTTTGTGGTACTTCCAGCAGCACAGACCCTGCGGGGAGCAAGCAAGTAGCAGGGTGTGCCTGTTTCACCAGGCTGAAGTAGTGAATTACTGCAGTCCTGCAGGGGAAATAACATTTGTTTTCCGTGGCTGGCTGAGCTCAGGCAGTCCTCCAGCCATGAGTTCCTGTGTGCACCAAGTGGGTGCAGCAGCAAGCTTTGTGTGTGAGTCTGCCCATGAGTCTCTGCTTGCACTGCAGCTCTGGGCATGAGAACTCCAAAGTTGAGCCCAAATTCATAATGAAAATGTGAAACTATTAATCTAGGGAAATAACGAGCAGAATGGGTACCAGCGTGGTACCTTCCCCGGGATGTGCTGACATTGAACTCCCTGTTCAATGGGACTGTGTTAGATAATGATCCTAATAGGTGGCTCTTCCAGGCAATTTGATAGATGTGCACTATCAAGCATTGTCAGAAATAGCTCCGTACACAAAGCAAGCGTTTATCATCATGGACACCTTGCAGGTGGTCACTGATTCAATGACATTGTAAGAAATAAATAGATAACAATTCCCTGCTTGCCGATGGAAGAGATAATAGTTTAGAACAAATTAGAGTTGTCTCCAGGCAATTCTTTTCGTGGAGGAGTGTTTGATTTGAAGGTGCAGGACAGCACGTGCGGCTCCTCCAGCTGACCTGTACGACTCCACCAAAACCCCATCTTTTCTGTGGTCGTCTGAAAGCACACGAAGGGAAAGCATTTCTTAGCACTGCTAAAAGAACAGAAGAGCTGTAATTCATTTCTCTTTTCTAAATTGGAGACTGGGAGAACCGCAGACTCAAAGGTGAAGTGAATAACTGGACACCCTTCCAATTTCGGCGAGTTTCATTGAACAGGCCGCATCTCCAAATTTCGCATTCAATGGCAGAAAAAATATCCTGCAAACCGAAATTTCATCCATTTGTGGAATTTGTGACTCATTTGAGAACCTTGGCATGCGGGTGATAGCCTTGGGAGCCAGGAAATAACGAAGAAAAGGTATTTTCAAAACAAACATTGTTTCACCAACAGCATAAATTGTCCCCTTATCAGGGTGTCCATGCAGTGAGGGGATGGGTTTGCTTTCCTCTCCCATCCCAGCCTGCTTTTCCATGCAGTTGACCTGTGCTGCTTGCAGCGGGGATGTTACACCAGCTCTGATCTAACTTCCAGCAGAGTTCACAGCAGTTTTTAATGAGGCACAAAGATCTTTTCCATTAAGATGTCTAGTCCGTGGGCTGTACTGACAGTTCTTCCTGGATCCCAGGCCCTCTGCTGCAACCCTGCTGCAGCAGGCTCCAGCCGGCACCGCTTGTCTGCTCATTGTGTTTGCTCTCTGCCTGCTTCCAGCCAAGGCTCTCTTCACTTTAGGCAGAGCCCTCCTGGAAGCGCCCAGCTGGTGTCCAGGGTCAGCTTCCAGCAGCTCATTGGGACTACTGAAATGCTCAAATATTAAATTCAGCCCAGATCTTGTGTTGGATTGCTTTACAGTGCAAAGTAGGGGTAGTCCAAAGACGAAGCATTAATCCAGATGTTCCCCCTTGATAAGGGGGCTGACTGCTGAGTCTTAAGTTTGGCATTTAATGTTAAGATGTGGGTGGTGGAGGGTGGGAGGTGAAAACAATTACTCAAATTAACAGGCTTGTAAGTGTTTCGCAATATAAGCTTCTGTAGCTTTGCTCCTTTTTCTCTGTTCTTTTTCTTTTTTTTTTTTCCCCTTAACTGGGACAGATTTAACATTAAATTAACCTGACTGGTATAATTTAGCAGTTGGGCACCCAATTAGGTAAAATATATTAATTAGAAGACTTAACTGATGGTGGCTTTCCTGGGCTGGCATCTGGCTGCATGGAAGCTGTGCAGTGATGAGCAGCGTCCCCTCCACTCCGGACAGCATCTGCTGCAATGTGACATTCCCAGTGGGACCTTGCAGCTTTTTATCTGATCCTGTGTCATGTGTCATGGGCTACAGGGACTCCTGAAAACAAATCAAACAATGTTGTTTGCCATGGATTTAGCTGCAGCTTTCTTTTTCTCTAATTGATTTTACCGCAGGGTTCTGGATGAGTGCTGGAGGTGTCTGCAGAGAAGAGCCTTGCTGTAATGCCTGCTCATCTCCTATGTGTGTGTGTGTTCAGGGGCAGAGTGGTTGCTCATATACCTGGCCCCTCTGCAGGAGCGTGTTCAGGAGAGATGCCTTCTTCGCTCTTACCTGATGGCAAAGCTGTGTTCCTGCTGTGGGTGACCAAAAGTGGCCTGGCAGGTGCTTCTCTCCACCTGGGATTACAGAAGTCAGCGGCCTGATGCTTCAGATGCACTTCTGGAAAGCTGCATTGCTCTGTGCGAGGTCCTGAGGTGTGCTGCACTCTGTCCCATCACTGTTACACTCCCACACAAGGAGGATGGCAGCTGGTCACAGCCCGTCTCTCTGGGCCATGCTGCCTGCAGCCGGCTGGCAGAACAACAAGGGCTTCGCCCTGCCTGGCTCTGAAGTGTCAAAACACTTCAAAGGAGAAAGGGAGAGGCCAACAGCCCAAGTAGACAAGTTCTCTGAAAAGGGAATTGTGAGCATAGCTTCTCTCCAGCTGGAAAACTGTCCTTGTGGGGCAGGGAGAGAGCTGGGTGCTCAAGCTGGGTGTGCTGAGCCCCCTGCAGCAAGACACGCTTGTGATGCTATATTGCAAGCCCTTTCTTGGAACATAAATCTAGTATTTCCTTCTGTGTAGGAAGAGAGGCAATCATGAGACAGGCTGGGTTTCTGCTTTTATAATCTCACAACAGCAAGTTTTAGCTGTCAAGAGTTCCAAATAAGTATATCCAATTTATTCATAGATGGTAGCTTTC